TGTCGCACGTAGGAGTAAGAGTGTAACATATGTATCACGTATCTCGTATGTGTAGCGAAAGAATATGCGATGAAAAATGATTAAATCATTACGTCTTCCTTCTTCAGGTCGATCACGTGCCTCTTTATTCGATCTCAGTCTCGATCTATCGGGAAACTGTTACAGAGGAATAATAAATCGTAAGGAATAATATGTCGTAATAATAAATATCATGGCGTTCAATAAATATTCATCATTCGTAGCTTAAGTGAATAATTAAACTATCCGGGAGGTGAGAGCCCGGTGTAATTACGGCGAGACGATCGCAAAATTGAATTTGCAGTTATTATTTTTCGACCGTTTGCACGCCGTCCCGAGCGCAAAGAACTGCCTCGTCCCGATTCCGTTAGAAACTCGCGTGCGTGGAAATGATTGCGTAGCTATTATCGTGCCGAATGGTTTCTCGGTTGACGGGGAGCGAAAATGAGTGGCAGGTATGTGGTGTATCCGACTATTGCGTGACGGCATTTGCGAGCAAATGTCGCTGACGTTCGCGGTATACGTTTAGCTAACGATTATCACGCTCGTTTCTCGCGTCGCGTTCGCGGCGCAAGTTTGACAACTAATTACCGCTACTTGTCTCGTTTCCGATACTTTCCGAATTAATTTCCGCGGGGGGATTACGATTTGTAAGAGAATAATTAACAAAAATAGTTAAAAGATAGCCATGTTCTTCTTTCATAAATAATTTAACAATGTACATCGTCAACTGTCTTGCTAAGAGACTTGGTGTCTTTCGTGGAAGATTACAAATCGAGCTTCAAGTTTTTGCAAATATTCCCTTCCACGAAGAACATTTAAGCGAAACAACGACCAATGAACTACTTTCTATATATAAATAAGAAAATCGTGTCTCTGTAGAATCGTTTGTCCAAACCATTGTGAGAGAGAATGTGATCTTTCGTGTGGAATGTCAATATAGGTCTGCCTACGTCTTTACTAAAGTAACTGATCTATCTAATATTTACGAATCTGTCAGAGATAATTAATCAGATCGACATTTGTTTGCCTAAGCCATATTCTCATCTGCGCGTAGCAAGTGTAACGTCGGTTCCTCGATTTAGAACATGAAGCGATTTGGAACTATCGGCACGCACGCCGAACGGAATCGGAAGGCCTCCGATTTCCCCCCTTGGTCGCGGCGATCAGTGCTGATGTCGCGCCGAGTAGGCCAAGCTCTGCGCGTAGTCGCGAGTCAGTTCGGTCGTCGACGTTTCGATAGAGGCGAAAACGTTCTTCAGACTCCTGTCCCAGCCTCCGCCGCCTTGCTGCCAACCACCGTGATCGCTGCTGTTCTTCTGGCTGAGCAGTTTCTTCAGTCCAATGATCAGAGATAAGACCAGAGCGATCTTGCTGATGATCAGAGCCTTTCCAGCCAACAGGAACAGTACACCAAGGGCAATGGGGATCAACGCCGCGAGTTTCATGGCCATTCCCATCATCATCATGCCCATCATCTTCTTCATTTTACCGCGTCCCTCTTCCATGCCTCGTTTCAATTCACCGGCACTGGTCCTCGGCAGCCGAATCTGAACGTTGAAGCTGTTCAACAGCGAGGCGACTCGATCGAACAGAATCTCGTTGAGTATTTCGTCCTTGCTGGATGTGGTTCTGCCGAGTGTAGTTTCCAGTTCGGACACGGAGCTCTTCGGCATTTCGTCCGTCGTTCTGATCAACTCGAAGTTCTCCGACAACGGCAGCGTGCGCATTCGGCCCAGTCTTTCGAAGAACGCGATCGCCTTCTTCTTCAGACAGGGTGAAACCGCTATGTTCCGATGCTGGCAGTCCTCGTAGACTCTGTACATCGCCCTGAAGCCCCTGTCCACCAGAGTGTCTTCCTCCTTGGCCGTCGAGGACGCGTAGCAGATCGCACAACACGCCGACAAGACGAGCACACACTTGGACAAATCGATCATCTTCTTCGTTTTGTTCTTCCGCTGGCCGGATGATTCCTCGCGACTCGTTCAATCCTCGACGAGAGGGACACAGGCGAATGTGAAACGTCACAGTGAACGTGTGATTATTCGCGAGATCACTGAGCGCACTTCCGCGAACTTCAGGATCTAGACTGGGAACTGGCGTTAGCAGCATACGTCCGGTCGGATATATACCATCCAGGGATCCGCCATCCCTCGCGAACCGGGCTGAGCTGTCTCCCACGTAAGGAGCACTGCCAACAGCCCGCGGACGTACCAATGCGGTACACGTGACAATGTTCCCCCCGCGCTTCCTCTGTGTGTTGTTCTCCTCGTCGCTTCACTATGCTCGTGCTCGTGCTCGTGCCGTCTATCTCCTTCTCTCAAAGCGTGAGCATGCGACCCATTCTGACACACAGACCCACTCACAGGCATCGAGATCGAGATAGAGGAAGGTAGAACGACCCGACACTAAGTTTCGCTGATGTCTGCGGGAACTAGCTAGGAGAGGGGACAAGCGTATGGAAGCTAGCGTCTCATTGAAACGCCTGGCACCGTGATCCTGTTGACCTTTCATCGTGATGGTTGGAAGTAGTTTTAGGTCGTGGACGGACCGCGGCCTTAACTCTCGCGCGCATGTCCCTTCCACTCCGTGGATCGTCTCCTGCTCTTTGGAGCCCGCGAGATCGCGATCCGGATTCGCTTGGCTGTTGAATTGAACGATAATGAAGCAATTTACGCAGCCGTTGGATGGGAATTTCCGCGAATTCGATCGGGGTTATTGATTAGGAATTTCTTTTCGAGAAATGTGCGTGGACTACAAGGATATACATCTGAATTCATTCGAACATCGAATCGGACCAGTAAGTAATCGTGAATGTTTTTATTCAATTTAAATTATACTATATTTATATTTTCGAAAGAACAACTCGGTTAAGAGTTCTAGAATGTCTCGAACTTTTGCATACATCCTGCGTTTGACTTAGTTTTCAAGAATGCATACAGTTGAAAATTCCTCGAATTGTGTTCCACCGTGAATGATAGATTAGACTTTTGTTAGACACGTTGCAATTAAGAAGCAAGGACTTGAAGATTGTTCTTCGGCGAGTAATCTTGAGGAGTACATAGTGCAACGAATCACGTAACAACGAGAGCAAATTACGGTTGTCTCGCGAAGAGTGAATCACGTTCGTATCTTTTTCGTTCGTTGCACCAGACTGCAAGTTCTTCACCTTCACTCGCGGTCGTCTTTTTCTGCGGCTAACTGGGCGTGTCCGCGGCGAGGAAAACAAACGTTTGTCGACCGGGCAATTTATCGAAGCCTGGAAATCCCACGGTTTTTACTCTCTTCTCTTCTAAACCACCGTCTTACATGAATTCAAGTCCCATTTCAATGTTTCTTCATCCTGAACTTTCAACTTTTGTGAACGCCCATAGAGATGTAATTTCAACTTCCTACCTACGTTTGGTAGGCAAGGGAGTCTGAGTCTCTCTTTCAATTTGGAACATTACTATTTCCAAAAAGCGAAAATTCGAAAGGAACAAGAAATAATGAGACCTTTGAATAACGGCCAACCACGATGTCTCAGACCGATTCAAACTGTCGTGCATGCCAATGAAACCTGATGAGTAAATTTTGAACAGATTGTTAAAAAATGGATTGGTCAAATGGAACGTGTCACCGTGCCGATCTCGACAACGGGCTCAATCGGGGTTAACGCATCTCTAATGCGACAACGACGCATCCTCGATGCTCGCTTACCTACTTCGCGATTATCCCATAGCTAGGGCCGCGGCGAGCCGAGACGAACAGCGTTGGCTCGCGTGCCACATTCACGGCACGCAGGTGAATTCGCACAAACGTCGCCGCGGATGGATTCCGTGACAGTAACAATGGGACAGAAAGCAAATCCTTGGAACGTGTTAGCAAGATCGAAGAGCCGGCGCTTTGAGCATCGCATCGCGATTGCTTTGAAACGTGTGAAGGTACACTCGCTTGGCTGCGATCCGATTTCACGGCGAGTTTGTGAGAAAGGTGTCAGCGATGGGTGTAGGTGAGATACTTCTCTTTTTTGTTTGGCATTTCTATATATAATTTTACTTTATTTTGGTGTTAAATTAAATTGGCATTCCTATATTTCTATGACGTGTAAAATGTTCTTTTTAATATGTTTGGTTTACGTTAGATTCGCTGTTCTTTTTTGTTCTGCTGTCTCTTTTTTAGTAGCGTTTTATGATGGGAATACACGATGAGGATATTTCATTTGGATTAAAGCGTTGATGCAATAAAAAAGTTGTACACTTCCATGATCGTTACATTGTGCTATTTTCTTTCTTGCTATTACGCTTTATTTCTCCATTTCTTTTCATCATTATAATACTTATAATCCTAATGAATTTATTATTATTCGATTATTCGACTCAGGTTAGGTTCAGTAGACTTCAGGTCAGGTTAGGAATTTATTGTTCGATATTTAGGTTAAAGATTCAACGGAATGAAAAGATCGTTTTCTTCTTTTTTTGATATTACGTTTCGTACCATTGGTCTTCTTTCTTCTATAATAATTAGATTGTGCCACTTATGCTCGTGGTGCCACACTTTCGATCTATCTCCCTGTATTATTTTACAATAATGTTGTACTTACAGTTATAATAAAGCCATTATTGTAACACGATTTTTAAATCGAGGAGATAATGTAATAAGAAAGATCGCTCTTCTCGATGCTATCTTTTATACGGTTGTCCTTCTTCCTTCTGTAATAATTAGACTGTGCCACTTATGTGCCTCTGGTCCCGCACACCTGGATCCATCTCTCTTTTTTTCATTTTGTAATTATGTTATGCTTATAATCATAATGAAGTCATCACTATTATGATTTGATGTTTAGAAACTGGGAAATTTGGTTCACGTTTGCTAGGTAGACTAGCGTACTCTACTTTGTTACACCACAATCAAGTAGTAAACGTGACACTGGCGCGTTCCCTATTGTTGGGAAGGAAAGTTCTTGGTTTGACGGTAAACGGGAACGCACGAGATTAACGATCGAATACGTTACTGTCGCAGCATGAATGTTGCGCGCGATTCTTTTCAAGCGGCTTTACCGCGAGGATTCACTTCTATTCATCGGCCACAAAGCCAACTGATCGCGTTTAAAGAACGAAAACGTGTCTGCAATTACGGATATCTCCAGAACATCTCCGAAAACGTCATTTTTCCGACACAAAGCAACTTTTAACTCGGAATATTAGATGGTCTAAATTTCACATCGTCTACGTGACGTGTTAATTGCAGTTATCAATAGTTTTCTGCAGAAACTTGAAACCATTTTAATGTTAAATATCGGATTAATCAGAAAGTAATTGCATTTTCTTCTTTCTAACAGATGGACACGTACGTATGTTGTAAAATATTATCAATCTCATTTTCAATCGGGAATCCATTACGCGATCTGATTGTCCAAGCTTGTTTGTCAGAAACGAAAATGCACGATTTCGTTAACAATTCAAAATGAAAGAATCAAAGAGTAACATTTTTGCTGTACTATCTTTGAAAAGGAATGAAAACGCTGTGCAAACTTTTTAAGAATTATCTGCGTGCAGTGAAGAAGATTTAAAACCACGGCAGTGTTAGAACTAGTTTGCTAAATTTCACTGCTGTGCGAATCAGTATCAAATCGTTCTTGGAACTTGTCGAATATGATAAAAACTTCTTCGAGCACGGGAGTCGATGAAATTGCCTGAAAAAGTGGCAAAAGATAATCGAACAAAATAGACAATACAAGCTTTTGTTTCTCGTGAAGAATTCGCCTTTCATTTGCGCGCAAAGGAACGCAGTTAATTTTTAACCGGTCGTTTTAAATTCTTCGTCGTTTTATTACACCTTTAATGGGGGAGGGGGGGGGGTAAACAGAAATTCGTCTCCAAGAATCTCTTCGATACTTTCTACCTTCAATTTATTTTGCGTGAGTTCAATTTACACAACACGCGTGACACAAAGTTTAATGACTCCACGCGAGAATTTCTCTCTGTTGTGCACTTCGAAGTACACGTACGAGCTTTCAGAAACGAGAAAACCAATCGGACAGGAACTAGAGAATACTCCGGGGCGATGCTTCTGGGCAAATACCCAGGCTTGTCGTTAGATCCAGGTCAGCCATCCGCAACAGGTGCTCGTAAGTTTTTGACCTGGCTCATTACCTCCACGAGAGAGCCACGAAATTTATGCTCGTAGTTCGATTTCATCTCGAGCCTGTGCCAGAAACAGGTCGTGCAACAGACTTCTCCGGATATCGCGACTGAATGATACCTGATCGTTGAGATGAAAGTGTACTGATGCGCGAAATTGTTCATCGGTTGCCACCGAGTGGTATAAATTGAATGGCGAGGATGAAGGTGCGAGTGTGATCTTGCGGTGTCCGGTGTAATTTACGCGTTTAATCATCCACCGGTTACAGCCGCGGGACTTTTTTTTTGTTATTTATCTGTTTCACGCTGTTTTCTTTGGACCGTGAGACTCGCAGTCGAGGTTAATTGTAGAATCAACATGACAAAAATGGGAAAAAGTTTTTTCCTCTTGCAATTTCTTTTTTGTCTAGGATGAATATCAGGTAGTATAGAAAGTATTAAATTTCTCGGAGATTATCAATTTATACAACTGTCTGTAATAGTTGCTCAAATAATAAGATTTATGTTAGATTTTCTCGCTCTAACTTACACGTACGATTTTAATTACTTGCAATATTGGTAAAAAAGTAATTGTTGTACAAAATCTGTTGTACAACCTTACGTGTACGTTTGATATAAATTATTGTAAAGCATCTTTCCGTAATTTAGTTTCAATCTAAAATGTAATGTACATTAATTCAATGTTAGCTATTATAAAATGTATATCATTTTAAACTTCCACCATCGTGTTAATTTTTCTTTTTTTTTAATTTTGTGGAAATTTCTACTTTCGAAATTTCTACAAAATAACTAGGATATTTATAAGTAAGAGAATATGTAAAGAAGCAGATTGTTGTTTTCACGGTTTCAAGTGACATGCGATCCGCGACCTTCGCGGGCTATAATCCTGCATAGCTCGAAGCAGTGAATCGAGGATGCTCGATCGGCCCAGTGGCACACAAAGCTATCGAAGAAAAAGATGCTACCTTTTAAACCTTGTTTTCTACTTCCTAGCGTATAAACTACGCGGGAGGCGGAGCTACAAGAAGAGGTCTCAGTTTGGCGACAGTGTTTCGTTTGATCTGCGATCGCAGCATCCACCACCGATAACTTTCCAATCGTTAGTAGAAGCGTTAAGTGTTACACGTTTGAGTTGTTCTTGACAGTATACTCGATGAATGCAAACAATGAATTCTCTTCAGTCCTTTATCGAAATTTCTGTAAGTTGATCACAATTGATTTACGATAGCTTCTATCGTATTGGAGAAATCTCGTATTGGAGAAATCTCGTATTAGAGTCTTCTTTGTCAAGACGAAAAGTCGTGCTTGGTATTTAATCCTCGGATAGAGGATTGCTTTACAGTCGTTTCAGAAGAACCTCACTTATTTGAACCAAGTTTTGATTAAACAATTTTACACTTGATCAAATGAACCCCTGCTGGTTGAATCCTTTTATTTAAATCTGAACTCAAATCATTTGAACAAAAAATTTCTAATAGAGGGGAGAATTAGCGAACTTTTATTATATATCAATGAACAATTATGATAAATTATTTGTCCCTCAAGCTATTTATTTGTGCTGCACTGTAAATATTTTCCTATGAAATGTTTTAACTTTTTAAGCTAAACATTTCACTGTATAAGATGTCTTTGAAATCATGCTACAAGCGGCTGGGTCACACAAAGTGACATTCTCCTCGATGATAAATATCAGGAGCAAAACGAAAAATCAGATTTACCTCAAAACTTACAATTAGTGCACGTGTAGACGATACATGTGGAGATTTTCAAACTGATTTTTTGTTCAGAAAGAAAACCTTAAATAACGAAATATTATCCTTCCTTTCCGATCTTTTTGTAGATTGTATGGTTGAATCACTATCCAAGCAGATTTTGGAAATACCTGTATAATAAATACAAGGGAATACATGTACAACAAATGAAGAGAAAAAGACATATTTATTTCCTTTGTATTCAAACAATTCCTCCAGTGCTGTTCAATGATTAATATTATATTCAACATTGTGCTGAGTGTTAATTTTTTTTATATTAAAAAAAGAAGGTTCCGCGTACAGAGTATTAATTCGAATCGTGATACCCCGCTTTGACTTGCTCGGTGCGTTACAAATTTTTTTCTAAACTTCTGTAATTAGCCCAGATCCTTTTGATTTCAATGCATCGGGCTATCGTTTCTTCACACTGAACGACTACGTACGGTGCAATTAACAGAGAGTATGGAGCGTGGTTCAACGTGCTAGTCGGTACGTCCACGCACGTATCGTATCCGCAACGCAGGATCGAAGTTAGACACAGAAGAACGATCCGTAGCTGAATTCACGCTCTGTATGTCGTAACCGCTAATTACATCTGTTCCTATAAAAATGGCCACACGTTTAGCCGGTCAGTTCGCGTCGAACATGCTTCGATGTACGATCCTTGTCCTGCAGCTATTTGGCCTTCTGGCCACATGCTGTTCCACCGTTCTCTATCGGAATACGCACAATGAGCTGTCAATTGCGCCGGTCGATTGCAGCCACAGCGATATTAATTCTACCGAGTGTGCAACGAAGAACGTGCGGGATATTGAAGGCAGAAGCAATGAGGCAGTGTCGGTCAAAGAAGTTAGGATGATTAGGCTAGAAGAATCGGGGAATAATGATGTTGCTGTCGAAGAAGGTGAGTCCTGGAATATTTAATTAAGAGTGAAGTATAATTGAAGAATTAAGGCATTGTGACAAGAGTGACATAATTAAAGAATTAGTTCTTCAATTTATTAAGGTATTATTGTTAGGTTATTTAAGATATTTATATATTATTATTAAGGTATTTAGGAAGCATTCGAATATTTCTATAAATATTTAGTTATTGTTAGGAACGAAAGTTCTAAATATTTTACGAAGAAAAGAAAAATGTTTTGACGAGTATCACTGGGTAATGAGTATTAGATTTAATTCAAAAAATTGACGTGCTTTATAGCAACAATAATCTGATACACTAAAAAATATTTAATTAATTTCAATTACAACACAGAAAGAGCAACGTAATAATCAATTTTAATATGAAAGAAATACAATATAACGTTTTATTCGATGTCTATGGAAGTGAACGAAAACGAGTCTGATTCGAGACTTCTTCTTATCGAATTTTCATATTTTTTATACTTCCTTTTAATTTTCATGTTCGTTTACTTTGCATTTTTATCTCTATTTATCCTTTTTCTATCGCCCATAACAGACCGTGACGATGAAAGAAATATATTACATATACGCGCGGCATTTGGCTTCAAGGGGAATGAGAACGTTCCGGTCAGACATCGGACAAGTTCGCAGCGAACGCGTTGAACGATTCATTTTTCGTTTTACTTTGCTTGGTATATAACTGGCGATATAAGATGTGAAATACCGTTCTACGAGAACGATTCCAAGTAGTTATTCAAGTTTCCTGTTCAACCATTCAATTAACCCTACTATATATTTCCTTTAAACGTTATCTTCGCAAACGATCTTGCGCATCGCGTGACGAGGCTATCTCTGCATTATTCACTCCTTTTTTTATTTTTTACCGTAAATAGACGTGCGTTCGGCTTAATTATTGCAGTAATCATGCCCGAAGGAATAACTCACAAATGCGTATTTTCAGGACGGAGGAAGAAGAACAAAGGATACGGGCAGATGTTTCTGTACTTTTTAGGAGCGTCGAAACTGACTATGCTTTATGTAATAGTCAATGTTGTCGCTGCGATTGCTGGGAAGGCTCTGATTGTCGGTAAAGTTGCTCTAGCGATTGCAACAGCCATTGCATTGAAAAAAGCCTTTGGTAAGCGAGACGAGTTAGAACGAAAGTTTGACAATATTATTGTTTCGCTGTGTTTGGGGATTTGTCCTCTTATTAGAGCGTTGATAACTTTTCATTTTACTTTCAGAACATAAAGAGAAAGTATCGTACGAGATAATTAAACACCCGTATCACAGCTCCGAGCATAGTTACAGTACGGGCGTGGAATACGATCATCACGGTGGATACGGGGAAAACAATTTCAACTATCGGAAACGGCGAAGGATTCTCCACTAGAAGATCGGACGACTGAGATTTAAAGTACATATATATTTGAAATATTAAATGCAAATGGATATAATTATTTTGAATAATAAAAGTACCTGCAAAGTAAATTTGTCATCTTTTACTTAATCTTAAGAAAAAGGATTTTTAAAAAATATTGGAATTAATTAAGAATTAATTTTATCTGAAAGTTTCCCTGTTCTTCAACGAGGAAGAAGGAAGTGAATCTTGCTAACATTTGTTTATTCGTATCGGGTTCAATTAATATACAAGTACGTACAAAATAAATTAAACAAATACAATAATATTAGTTTTTGGTACAGCGCTAGTTTACTAGCTATCCTGAACAAACAACAAGTTACATAAAAATACGTGACTACAAAACTACAAACTACAAGGTACACTTAAACTCGTAATAAGTAAATACTACGCAGTCGTGTTTCGCATGTTGATTTCTTCGATTAATATCACGCAGATGCAGCTATAACGTCGATATAAATTTATTCTATATACAAACAAGAAGGGTCTTTATTCGCTTTGCTAACTTAACTAGCTAAACAAAGTATCGTACATGAAATAAATGAAATTTCGCAGGATTCGATCGATTCAAGTAGGAGAGACACCGTCGATGGACCGTTGCCAGCCACTCCCATATCCTCCTCCGCCGTAGCTTCCGTGATGTTCAGCACCTGTGGCGTAGATCACTTCGTGGCCACCGCCTCCTTGGCCGGACACCAGCTTCTTCAGTCCAATAATTGCGCTCAGAACTAATGCTATTTTAGCTGTGAGCAAGGCTGTGCCGGCGAGGAACGCGATTTTAGCGTAAGCTAGCTGTGCCATCATAGCTAAAAAATTAATTTTCTATAAACTCTGAGATATCGTTGCGTAGCAAATTTGTATTCTTCATTAAATTACAACTCACCTCCCACTGCTAGAGCTCCCATTATGAGAGCACCGTATCCCTTGTCCTTCTTCTTTCGACCTAAAAATTTAATTCAATTGAAATCTAAAGGAATTCACAACTCAATTTAATTTAATTCTATAGTATAAAACAATTTGGGCATAGAATAGTGGAATTAACTTCGTACCTTGGAACGAGTCTCCCGGGATAGTAAGCTTCACGCTTCTAGAAGAAATGTACTCGTGGAACTTGTGATCCAGCTTTTGATCCAAAGTGAGCTTCGTTTCGTTGTCGTCTTTGAACGATCTGTCTATGCTCTTGATAACCGCTGCAGGGTCCCTCCCGATGGAAATGTAGTCGTTCAACACATACACCGTGTCATCCTTGATGGCCGAATCGAGAATCTCCAAAGCCCTTTGCTTCAAACAATCGAAGGCGTTTCTCTCCCTGGCGCATTTCTCGAATAACTTTGTGTACTCGTTCTTGCTCAGCGCCAGACTGAACAGTAGCACAGAGTGGGTAATAAAAATGACGCAAGCAGTTCTGTATTTCCCCATCGTGTTCGAACGCGGCGCAAATTTAGTGCAAATCGCGTGCAAACGCGTAACGATGGATCGAAGTTTGATCTCGCAGCGTTCCGCACCGATCTCGAGTCGACCGCTCGAAAAATATCGCGAACTAATTCGAATTGCTCGGTCGCCGCACTTATATAAGGGTATTTCACGTTTCTCCTACCATTGGTCAGCTCGTCCTTACGACGTTGGACTCACACCTGATCCACGCGCTGTTTAACGCCTCCTTCTCCAGAAGGAGGGACTCTTGAACCAAAACAATGCCGTACAGCCCCCGCAACTAAGTATCCCTCTGACCCTGTTGCCAAGTGAAGCGGAAACCCTCACGGAATGGCTCGGAAATAGGAATTAAAGGCCGAACGGCTTTTAAGGAGTACCGTGAATCCAGGCTGTGGCAAATCTTTCTTACCTTATTCCACGCATTATTCTTCGCGTTTTTTTTTTGTTTTTGTTTTTAAACTCTTTCTCGCGAATAATGCAAATTTAAAGGATAAGAATTCGTTCTGATTTGCTTACAGAATTAGAGTCAGAAACGACGAATCGAAGATTGCACGTATTTCATAACTGGATGAAAATTTATGTAACAGGGAGATCGGACAACGAGAAGAAACTAGAGAAATCAAGTTTACGAGGCGTTTTTACTGCACGGCGAAAGTCCACACTTGCGTTCGTTAAAGATGAACGCAACGAATGATGCATCGTTCCAAACTCGAGCGCGACTTTTTAATTACACACGTCGACGAATTAGTCACCGCGAATTATTTAACCCGGCTCGCCGAGATACTGTTAATCCGACACGGATTACAGACCATGACGCGCCACATCCAACAAACAGCCGGGGCAATTACGCGCGCACGAAATTTTCGTATTAAAAAATGTGTCCGCTGTTCACGGCCATTCGAGCTCTGGCCTGAAAGATCCAGGACATTGTTCCCCGCGTTTGTCGTTTCTCTGCGCAAACCGGCCAAACGCAATTACCTTACTAAAGAAGAGACCTTAACAGCCTTATCACGGCTGCTGACAAAAGCTTCCAACGTGTGTGAACAACGAACATTGCGTCTGAGAAAATCCAGGCCATCCCTCTTTTCTGCTCGTTATCTCGCCGATTTCGTCGTCGCGATGGCCGCTATTACCCTACTTGAGAGCGTAAGGGAGGAAAGGAAAATCAGATCGTGGAACGATTTTACGAAAAGACAATGTTACGAAAAGACGACACGGGGAAATTCAAGCACGATAACGAATTCCACAACGACGGAAGGAAAATGAACCGTTACATCGTAACGAGTCAACGGCGTCACGCACGTTCGATCGGGGCAGCCAAGTGCAGAAATAACACAAACAGAGACGTGGAATAGTAGAAGCCACCCGGGCGTGAAACGGTGGCGGAAAACGAGCAACTTTTACGGTCGACCGTCGACTGTCCTGGTAATGTATGCCGCGTTCGTCGGTCACACTTGACATAAGCGGCTCCGCAACCACGTGGTGAAGATACACGAACGTTCACGGGACCATGAACGCTGTTACCTTTACGAGCAAAAGCGTTTCCCGGACACGATGCCTCTTCCTTCGGCCGGTCAGCGGTACAGTTACACGGTACACGATCATGGACTGAGACTAATGGATCTGCGAACGAGTGAAAACTGTCCTTCCTTTAGGACGAACTGCAAAAGGAAGTTGGAAAACGACAGTGAAAGAGTGACGCTGTTCAGACACTCTTCTCGCGGAGCGAATTATTTGAAGGTTTAGCCTTTTGGTTTGCTATAGATATTAAAAACGTGATTGGTTCATCTTTTCGGGTTAGGCATGTCCGGCTGGAACTTCCCTATTCCATTTAATTACGAGGAGAATCTTTAATTGGGAAAATGGAAGAGAAAAACGAGTATATTCATAAGAGTAGACGGAAGGAAAATTCTGTGCAAATGGAACGGGGGCGTAAGAAATGGTTGCGCACTGAATAATTCTTTTCTGGAAATTAAGTTTTATTCGAAGGTTTAATCTGAACATTCCACGAGAGAGGATGTAATAACGAATAAACACATCCTGTCCGTGTCAACGGAAATAATACTGTGCAATACCGCATTAACCTAAAAGTTCCTGCATCTTTGGTAGAACATTCGAATACGTTCTTACAAATAAAATATTTGTCAATAGAAATATAGATATATATTTCATGAAGGGGAATAATTTTCTGTAATATAGAAATTTCCTTTTCTTCTCTTTCTTTTTTTACAAGACTTCATCAGCTACTTTTCATCCAAAATTTTGTCAAAAGGAACAATTCTATAGTTTTACAGAAATTTTCTACGACAAGTTATATCACGAAATGAATTTTGGTTTTGGATGAAAGTCACTAGATTAAAAGCATCTATTCGTTACCTCGTTGATCACATCAGTTACTTTTTACCCAGACGAAATTCTTACCATTCCGTTTGCTCTTCCCCACTTGTTCCGTGTTATCATAAACGTCGACGACCTCTCTGATTACGTGCTGACTGTACGGCTGGAAGTCGTTGCCCTGGAATCCCCTGTACGGCCTGTGATGAAAATTGTAGTGTTCGTAGTACGGGAATCCTCCGATCGGTGTTTCGTGTCCGTGTGTGTGGAATCCTCCTGCTGGATAATGCGGCGGCCCAGTGGGTGACAATAACGAATTCCAGCCCAACAGACCACTGATCACCAGAGCTATCTTCGTCAATAGCAAAGCTTTCTTCGTAAGTATCAGCAAGAATCCGAACAACAGCGGAATGAGAGATACGAGGTTGAACTTGAAGCCCAGGAGGAATGGTAGCAGCAAATGCCTCACCATTTGCCTTCCTGCAAAGAAGAAAGTTGCGTGACAACATTCGAGCATGTAGCATTCGCATTCTTAGCTTTGTTGCTCGAAAATAGAAATATTCGCAACCGGTATGGAACTATTAATAGAAAGTAGATCTAGCGCGGATCGGACTCGTAATATCTCAGACATTCCAACAATATGATATCTAATCTAGGATGTTAACGTATTCTACAAGTACAAACGGAAGCATTAAGATTCTTCAACGTGAATGGCCTTGACCGTGCTGCCTACTGGAGGTGCTTCCTGAAAGCAGTATGTGGCAAACGCCGCAACAGCGTGGATGCGAACCGTGGAGAACGCTGGTTCGTTTCCATGCTTATTTCAAGGTTGGAAAAAATATCACACGATTGAAATAACATCGAAATAATCCTCCAAATTTGCCAATGACCGATAGAAGTCAAAAAAAGAAACTAATTTCAAAGTTCTTCGTAAAGACTAGTTTGATAAATTCTACGTGACATCTGTCAAATTTCCCAAATAATTAGCAAAATAAATAACAGAGGATTAAGAGCAACAATCTTGGACTTTACCTGGTCCAGTTTGCCTGTCACCGAATGTCGTTGTTCTTTCATTGATCACGAATTCCATGATGCCATCCCCATTCAGCATCGGTCCAGCTCGTAACTGCAATCCCGGATACACGCTGTCTAAATTCCATTTGAAACTTCTACGCTCTATCAGCTTGGTCGTCGCTTTCACGATGTTTCCAAAATCTTTTGGATCGTAATCCCAGTCCAGAAGTTCTCTACTTTGGCCATCGGCCCTCTCCAGATGCACGGTTCCAAAATCTAGATCGTCCTTGTGATTGAGCGACTGGAGAGTACTCAGAGCACCACGAGTCGCACATTCCAGCGTGCCGAATTCTTTTCTCGCTAAACAGGCGCCGAAAGCTTCGCTGAAGCTCGTCGAATCTTCGTTGGACAAGATTGATTCCTCGGTTGGTTCCGTAATGGCCGTAATTCCCGTGGAAACGAAGAGCAACAGGCACAAACCTCGCAATCCGTGTTTCATGATGACGATACAGGTTCCGCGAATGAGAATAAAACTGGAAGAAGATCGCAGAGAAAGTCGATGAGATATTTTTTCGCGTGGCTCGTGGCTCCGCGATGAAAGTCGTTCCCCAGGATGCAATTAAGCGGATCGTTCCGTTGCGAGAGAAGAAAGAGTCCGCGTTCCAATGAATTTATCATCCTGCGAAAACGACCCTCGTCATTTTCGTTCTCGGAGGAAGAGAAACGCAAAAAGAATAGAAATTCTTCACGACGGAGGCATGAAGCGAAGCAAACGAACGAAAGACGAACCGGGTTCCAAAACAATACTGTTGATCCAGCACCTACGATCAGCCAGCTATATAGGCGCCAAGGGAGCGTTCACACGCGACGGAACAATCGGTTTCACTCGGCGGATCTTGCGAGCAGCGAAAGTACGTCTCTGGCTCTTTTCATTTCGTACCGAGAGACCGAGGGAGATCCCTCGATACACCGGATGCACCCGAGCAGGCCAATTTCGAGGGGGCGAGGGAGCGAATCTCGTTAGACTGTCAGAACGTCGGTTCGGGAAGCGACCGGGAGAAATTCTGTCACGAACGACAAGTAAAACCAAGAATGACGACATTCCGTGTCGACTTGGACCGACACAGTTCAGCCAAAGTTATAGAGGTAATGGAAGAAAGCAGTGGTCAAGCAAATATTCGTGTTAACGCGATTATGCCTGATTAGCACGTTTAGAGCGTCGCGTGGGATCCGTGAGACTCGATCTACGAAGGAGATGGAAAAAGTGTGTAACGTGACGAGCGTTGGTTTTCGTATAAAATTATATTTATTTATAAATAGTTTGATAAATTACATGGCAACCCTGCGAAGGGTGTAATATAAATAATCATTGGATGAAATCTGGTAGCCCTGTACAGGTACTGACGAGTCCGAGCGCGTTCGACCCGGGATCTGCGATCGAGGTTGCTTCGAAGCTCCCTGAACGAATAGCACAACGAGCTGAGTCCAGGGTGACTCGACCACCACCATTCACTGTTCCTGGTAAAAACTGTTCGGTCTGACAACTTGCTGCTTGCAATCACCATCCTACGATGAATCGTTCGGACACCAAAGATAACAACATGTCTCTGACAGTCTGGTCGATCGTCAATCGTCACATTTCGTCACGTTTCCATGGTCACTGGTCACGTACAGTGATACGATAGTCTTTCTCGACGAAGCATTTGCCCCGGTCGATCGGTTGATGGTGGTTCGGTCGGACGGAACGTTCGATCAGCTCGATCGCACACGAGTTTCCGAAGTGTTCGAGGAGTCGAGTCGCGCAGCCCTCGGGTGATCGCCAGCGGCTGAACGATCACTTTGGCGAACGAAGGTAGTGAGTTAAAACGAAAAGACTATGGCAACGAGCAAACTACTCGGAGGGTTTATACGCGTTGTACGCGAGGTCAGACCCTCCTGATCTCGCCCATCCGTGGTGGTCGTGGTGTTCTTCGTGGCCGTACGAGTGCACTGGATGAGCCACTACCTCATAACTTTGATGTTTGTTGGCGAGAAGCTTCTGAAGACCGATGATCGCGCTGATGATGAGGGCGATTTTGCCAATTGCGAGAGCCTTGAATGCTAGGAGAGCCAAACCACCGAGAGCGATAGGGATGAGAGCCGCAGCCTTAAGTTTCAAGAGCAGCAGAATCGGCAGCAGAGATTTCACGATCTTCTTCTTCTTTCCCCGAGCTACGATCAAATAAGGAAGATCAAATCTCGATGAACTCGATACTCGACAAAAAATGACATCATCCTATTGATAATTTTTTACCTTCGTCGAAGGAGCGGGAGACCTCTTCGGGAAGACTCAGTTCAACAGTATGGGTGGAGAGGAACTTGGCAGTTCTGTCGAAGATGGCTTGATCAATGGCAGCTTCCTTGGCCTCCGTCTCGGCTGGCAGGGTACTTTCGATGTCATTCAAGGATCTGGCGTTGTCTGCACGGCTGAAAAGTAAAATTTTCACGTAAATTGGCACGAATCGATCCTGATGCTTGCATTTATTTTCATTCATCCGTCCGTTCACTTTCTTCCGAACGATCCTTACCTGTTTTTAGCTTCTTCGGTCTGCACGATCTTGAAGCCATCCACGATATCGATGTTCGCGGACCTGGCCACTCTGTCGACCAGACGCAGCGCCTGCAGCTTCAGACACGTGGATATCTCCTCTTGGCCGGTGCAGGTCGCGTACACGTCCAAGGCTTCCTCCAAGATGGACGACGGCTGGCTAGCGTCTTGACCCGCGGGGGCGGCCAGCACCGAGCTACAGGCGAGAACTGCGGCGATTAACACAAACTTAAACATCTTCGACGATCGTATATTCCGGAGTCACCAGGTGGAAAATCCCTCAAAAAAAATTGCGTTGTTGTAAATGTATATGTATATATGTATATACTGATCCCTTCACAAGTGTGCACAGCTGGAACTACTGCGGCGATCGTATCGGCACTGACCGAAAGAATCACGATTGCTGCCTTTTATCCTCGTCGCGAAAGGGGCCCGCGTACGTTTTTGAAATTTTGATGGCCCCCACCGACCCGGTCCCCGCCTGGGTTACAACCCGTACGAGCTATTGGCTCTCCTCCAGGCGCTCGTCTCTGGAGTATGTTTCCCTATCGCGCGCGCGTCTCTCCCGTCAACGCGCCTCCCCTTCGTGCTCGCTCGGTCCTTCTCGCTTCTTTCCTCTCCGTGACTGTGGCAAGCCCGAACCAGCCCTGACACTCTCTGCACACACGTGTGTTCGCCCATCGGACGATTAGTCATTGGGCGAGAGAGAGAGAGAGAAAGGAAATTGTTGAGAGAAGCGTCTCTCAGCCCTTTCCCAGGAGATTTTCAAGAGTATCCTGTCCCTGAGCTAAAGTCTCCTCTCTAGTCTCTCGACAGAAAGTTCTTAGAACTATTGGACACTGTCTCACTAGAGGCGAGATTGTGGTTTGAACCATTTAGGGAATAAACCGATTGTATTGATCGACTGTATTGATTGAGTTTTGTTGGTAATTAGTTTGGCACATTCTAAGACCGTCTTGAATATTTAAGCAAATCGAAACATGATAACGTGTTCTGTAAACGGCGAAAGGTTCGTAGAATTCGGTTACTTTCTCGTTCCGGGGTACCGTATTTGTTTCTGAAGAGGGACGAACAAGGTGTATTTAGAAATCGAATATTCAGGGTCAATGATATTCACGTGGGATCGTTGATGCTGAGAACTCGTGGCTGTAATGGTTTCTGGCAGCGTTGTCTCTGCAAATATACCAAAAAATCGTTTTACTCTCCCCATGGGACGACGCTGTACATACCTGTCGGTGTCTTCGTACAATCGCGTACGCTTCGACATGTTCGAACTTAATTCTCACCTGTAATTACCTCTCTCGCGCACAATAACGGCTCGTAAAACAACTTTCCGCCAAGCTTAATAACGAATCGTAAAATTCGACGATCCGTGGTATTTTTCAGTCGGCACGCGGGGAAGAAACGGGGAAAACAGATCGAGCGATAACCGCGACGATTTCGCTTTCAACAAGCCGTGTGTATAATACCTCGCGTTATGTAGAAGATACTTGAATCTCACGCCTCTGCAACTTTCCTCGCCGCGACCTCCTATCATGCGGATCGAACACTCCCAGCTCGCGAATTCTTCTTTCTACGTACTTGATATTCCATCGTCCCATTTCATTTCGTCGTGCAAACGGAATCTCGACGGATTTTTCTCCCGGCTAACTGTAATTCATAATTAAATCCCGCATTCCTGGGATGGGTTTCTCTAACACTCTGAGCCGAGCGAGTCTCATTCATCCGAATCGTGCGTCGATAGCGACGGGACAGGTTAAGATCCGACTATTTGAAATTAATGTATTCGTGCGACAGTCGCACGCTGAACGGTTTAACGGTTTTTCGTGGAATGTCCGTACTGCGTGGACGAGTTGGGACTGCGCCAGACCTCCTCAAGGAGAACAACCGGCCGCGCCTCCACGTGACCCCGAAGACGCCTAGAAAAATGTATATATGTACGGAGAAGGAAAAGGATGAGATGGCAGAAGAGTCGTTTCCGATCGACGCGAACGCGGTCTTGGATCGTCGCGACTTTCTCCGCTGACGAGCTTCCTTGCTTCGAATTCCTCGATTTCACGCTGCCACCTTTATTCACGGCTTAATTCTGCGAGGAATTTTTTTTTTTAACTTACTTCTTAATAGAAAGTAATCTAAATAAGGTAAGTGACACGTTTGGTAGAAATTGAATGCATTTCGTTGCTTTGACTTTTTAGTCGTATTTCGTTCGCCTCGTACATCACGTGGGGGGCTCAAAAGTTACTAAAAATCATTTTCTATAAATATTCTTTTGTTGTCGAAAATTTCAGTCGAGGAAGCAATTTAGTTACAGTACTGTAATGATTACGTTATAATGTCCACGTTCTTTCACCAACTGAAGATTTTGACATTGAAAAGATACTTGCGCAACCGAAATTAATTTACTTCTAAACCTTCCATATAATAAATGAAATAAAATATATTAGAGTTTTACGAAGAATATGAAGAACAGATTAATTGCTTCGTTATAAATCTAGTATCTTATTCTTAATAGTTTACAACAAATAAAATAAAACTCGTTAGAATCTCACAATAAATGTAACAAGCAAGTGTCCTGATTCTCAATTTATGTTCAGACTCACCTAGAGGGTGAGCTTTATACTCACACGTCAGATGTAAACACTGAAAGTATTCTAATTCTAACACTCCGACTAATTACACATTCTAACATAATCGTCGTTCAAGAACCTAGTCATCACGAACGAGTTCTGCGATTTTCCACTCTATGAAGCGAAAGTGCGGGTAAACATCACGTACGTCAATAGATGCAACGAGAAAACTCATCAGACTCGAAATAAGGTGGAATTGCAATACGGTAAGAACTTTCACTTTATCTTTCATCGTTGGCCGCTAACGTCGGTCAATTTCGATTCTTTCTTAAAGTAAAAGTTTTGGTCATTGAACGAGTAAATTAAACGAGCGACGAATCACACGGCGTCGTGAACGAGTGCAATATCTTGCCGAAGTTATTATTAGCGATTCGCGCAACTGTGGAGTAAATATTCTCGAGCAAATGGCTAATTCCAATGGCAGAACAAGCTCGGCTGCGAGCTGAGCAACGGCTGGTAATGGAACACTTTCCTCTCGACGACGCCGGGCGAGAGTGAACTCGCCCGAGGATCGAGGTCAGGTCAAGGCCCCCACGAAGCGAGGCTTCGAACTTCTCGTTCTTCCTCTCTTTCTCTCCTCGTTCTCCCTTCTTCTCTCGTACAGCCCTGTGAATGCAGAAAATATCGATCCCTTCGTTACACGTTTAAATCTTTGCAGTAGAATTCAATTCTCTGATTGAAACAATCAGACGGTCGATCGTAGAGAAATTTAATTTGACGAATTTAATTTGTAAAGAAATAATAGTTTCAATCGTCGATGGGGTTTACGATGTGTTGGTTGATGAATCTGTTAACTGTTTCTTTTTTTTTTTCAAGCAAGAAAGAGAGAGAGAGGATAAAATCGACAATCTGTCGTGGTAATGTAGCTTCTTGATCACCGTGACACTCGAGTCAGATGATCCTCGAGCTTAATTTCAATCTATGAATGAACTACTCCGAGGAAGAAAAAGTAGTACACGATGGAGAATCGGAGACGCGTCTGGCACGGATGAATGAACGCGATTCATGCGTATCTGATTCTGCTGTCTCTGATTCGCGCGTTTTGCACACACTTGCCAGTAGCCGAAAAGAAAAAGACAACTTTCCATACACGTATACGCGTCCACTTGAATGATACTCCGTTTCTTTTTACATTCGTGTTTTTTGTAATCAGCGTATATTAATCTCACGATGGAGATTAATATACGGGGAGAAAGAGAGTAACAATTTCAATTATTCGTTCCACTTTCCGTGATATATTTTTAACGAATCATAATTTTGAGACTCTGATCCATTCTTCTTTGGAAATTTCATATTAATGTTCGAAACATGGACACAATAAAAAAAAAAAAGAAGTTGAATCATAAGTGTTCGTTCTGCTTTATTTAGTTTTGAGTGATAAGTAATTAGTGGATTGATAGGAAGAATCTAATTCGATATTGATGCAATATAATTACAATAGTAATTGTTCTTCCTATGGATGAAAGATTAATTAATTCCAACATCAGAGACCAAAATTTCACTTCAGTTTTTGTCTCAAAATTCAAAAAAATTCCATGCATCCCGGTGCTCGTTCGTTCCATTTCCAATGCAATTTTAATTACACAAATTGTAACTTGACAAATTACAATTTTAATACTAAGTACCAACGATTCTATTTCAATCTCTTGCACTTCCATCTTAATTCTCAAATTCAGACATAATCAAAAAAAAAAAAAA